TCGAGAAATTAAACTGAAACATTCAGCCTTAATGGTGTGCTGGCTTTGCTTTCGAAACAACTGTTCTAGGCCATATCATTTAATTATCTCAAAATGTCTCAACATTTCAACCCGTCGACAAAGAATACTGGAGTAGTTTAAATATTCATTACAATAAATTCTAATTTCAACTTTTAGTTTATTGTCTTATTTAGACATTATCTAGTTTTTCTAATATCAAAATTGTATGTAATAAGTATTTATTATATTATTACCATTACAGGATTTATAAACTTTCAATATAAATTAAACATTAAAACATTGTACCAATTTCATTTCATTTTTATACATCTGTGTATGCAAGCAATGCACTAGGCAAATAGTTGAAATTGAGCTTTTAATAGGTGTTTATTTAATAGGGGTTTTAACATGTCAGTCAATAATGAGAACATAATTCTTTGATTTCAGTTGATCTATAAATTAAACTAAATTTATCAATAATTCGCAATGCAAATACAATACATTTATGATGGTAGGCCTAATAAATGTAATTAAAACAATAAAAGTTGTATATCTAGAGGTACAATTTCTCCAAATTTTACCACCTCAGCCCCAACTGTGGTGGAGCTGAGAGACGTGTGAACTCACAGTTTTGAAGTAAGTAAAAAAATACATAAAAAAACAATGATTTTAAGTTTAATTTTCTATGGTAACGTACATCAAACATACTAATTAGATCTCTATGGTTGCCGAAAATAGCTGATAAAAGATCAGGAGAATTTATAGACCTATAGTCCATATCAGACCTACCTAATAAATGTAATTAAAACAACAAAAGTTGTATATCTAGAGGTACAATTTCTCCAAATTTTACCACCTCAGCCCCAACCATGGTGGGGCTGAGGTGAATGTGGCCACACGGCTTTGAGATGGATCGAGTATATTAGATACATCAAAGAAAGTATTTTTTTAGTTTTATTTTCAATGGTACATCACTCGTATTAATTAGATCTATGTTGTTGCCGAAAATCCCTGATTAAAAAAGTGTCATTTCCGGCCATATAGTAACGGTACTATTTCCTCAAATTTTCTCTCCTTGGCGCTAACAATGGTGGGGCTGAGGTGGTTGTGGACTCACGGCTTTGAAGTAGGTAAAGTAAATACATCAAAGAGTATGTTTTTAAGTTTTATGTGTACATTACACAACTAATTAGTAATCGCTGATACTTTTGACGTATAATGGTGATGTGATGATGAATGAGGTGGTTGTGAAATCACGGTTTGAATTATGTAAAGTACAGATTCAAAGACAATGTTTTTAAGCTTTGTTTTCTATTGTATATTACACACACATTAACAAGATCTCTATGATTGCCAGAAATCCCTGATAAAAGATCATGAGAATTTTTTTGGCGCTTCATTTTGACTAATGGCGATGTGATGATGATGAATTTTACTACTAGAAGTGTCATTTCCTCAAATTTTCTTACCTCAGCTCCAACCATGGTGGGTCTGAGGTGGGTGTCGACTCACAAAATGTCCTCTCCTCCACCTTTTTTTTGGTTAGTGAGATACAGATGTTTGAATATAAAAAAAAGTCCTTTTTCCACAATTTCGTCCGAAGTTTTTAAATATTCAAAAATCTGCATATCATAAACTGCTACCGAGTTTTTCGTCAAATATGGTTTTTGTGTCCTAGAAATTTCGGTTGTACAACAAATGACATTACATTATAGCAATCCACAGTAATAAAGTAGGTACAACAATTATTATACAAAATGTATTCACATCATCTCTAAAAGCATTCAAAGAGAAAGTGAGCAAGTGTAAACAACATCATATACTACTGTTGAAGCGTTGTGATCTACTCTTTTAAAGCCAAAGGGAAAATACCACATCTAATCTACCTAACAATTTGGCTTAAAATAAACATGTTACATAGCACTGACGCAAGTACTTTAATTACATGTTTCTCATTCTTGGGGATTATCTAAAAGTCTGTATCTGGGACAATTAGGTGACAAGAGTGCTGCTTCTAGCTTAACCCAGAATAATGCCTGTCTCTCTGGGTGTTCTTCCCACTCAATGTACGTTTTTGTGGTCAGTATCTTGTGTAATAGGATCGGCATATCTTTCGCTGACACCTTCTCAAGCACAACCACAACCAGGATATCCTCGTGATTGTCGAACATTCGCATGCGTGCCATCTCCAGTTCGAAGTAACACCATTCACTTTTGATGAAGTTTTTGGAGACAACCAACAGCACTTTACGGCTGTATTTAACAGCATTCGCGATATTATCGACAACTGCTTCTCCTGCAATAAAATCGCGGTAGTCAACACACAGTTTTAACTGTCTCTTATACACATCTAGATGTGTATAAGAGACAGGTGTGCTGGCTTTGCTTTCGAAACAACTGTTCTAGGCCATATCATTTAATTATCTCAAAATGTCTCAACATTTCAACCCGTCGACAAAGAATACTGGAGTAGTTTAAATATTCATTACAATAAATTCTAGTTATCTGAGATTAATCAGTGGATCTTTCGGTTTTACTTACCTTGTTCTCTAATTTTTCATTATTGACATATATGCAGTGAAAATCTGAAACACCACGTGGTTGAAAGCGTTATAGGCTATGTGTATGTCCAATTTGTAGGGATTTATTTTACTCCGACTTCGATTTATTTACGATTCATAAAATTGTAATGATATTAATGAACGTAAACCCGTAGTAGTATAATTAATGACATTTCCACGGTGTTTTAATTTTGTATAGATCAGTTTCCTTAACATATCAAAGTTGATATTTATCGTTAGGCCGTCAACATTTTTGATAGACAACAGAACATTTGAAAATAAAAACACTGAATAGTGTTTGCTCTCAAAACCAGTGGCGGTTTGTTTTTAGCGCCCCCACCCCCCACTTCCCAAACATTTTGGTCCACTTTCCACAAATTGGCACCCACCCAATAAAAATCCTTTGTACGGGCCTGATACTGCACATGACCCAATTATGTACACTGGGCCTACAGTAGGCCTATATAGTCATTATCCGAGAAGACTTTATTCACATCCAAGATAGTCGAGCGTACCGTTCGAAACAGCGCCGATATTATGACTGAATGTGGCAGCAGTGGCGTAACGCCTATGCGCTCTCATGCGGCGGTCCGCAGGGCCCCAGAATTCTAGGGGCCCCGAAGGGGCCATACACATAGGTTCCTCGATCTAGCACCCAGACCTAAAAGACTTTGTTGAAAAAAAAAACAACTATAATGTGTCTCTGAAATCGATTGTAGGGTATATATTATATTATAATAATTAAAGAGAAGGAGACCAGACGGGGCCTCTCGACCCGGGACCCCACCAAATTTGTCCAAAAAAAATTTTTTTAATGGAGATGAAAAGAAGTATGTGAGTGCCATTTCCGGCCATCTAGACGTGCTATAGTAATACATTTTCTTATCTCAGCCCCACAAGTGCAACGACATAATGTGTGTCTGAAATCGACTGTAGGACATATCATATTATATCCAGTGGCGGAATAAAGGGTGTGGGGAGGGGGAGCTGTCGGCCTGGGGCCCCACTAAATTTGTCAAAATATTTTTTAACTGGAGACAAAACGTATAAGAAAATTCATAATTTTGTCTGTGAAGTGCCATTTCCGGCCATCTAAAGGTGCCATATTCATAAATGTTCTTACCTCACCCCCAACCATGGTGGGTCTGAGGTGCTATAGACTGTGAAAGTCCCTCCCTGGCCTCAATTTTCTGGATGCATAAATATAATTTATTCGTCGTTAAAAAATTTAGGATAACAATGCACACCTAAAATCCCACGATGGAATTGGTAACCGGAACCCAAAAAAAAGACCATGTTTAGTTCTGCTAGAATTTCTTCATAACAACCAAACAATATGAATAAACAATTTATGGGAACAGCGCATACTGTAAGTGGAATCTACTGTATATTATAATTATGCTTATTTTAAAGTCTAAATTTACAGTGTATAACTTATTACGTCAGATAACGTCTAGGATTCGAATCTTACATAGATCATTAAAATCTTTATCTCTCGAAGTGAACAATTCCATATTTCAGCTTAATTGTCCCTTTTCCCTACATAAAAATAAATCACGAAAATATCTTCCTCCGCCCACAATTCAACTTCGGCTAGGCCTATGTTTTTTGTGTCCATATTTTGTCATTTTGTTTGTTCGTCAGGGAGTTGGTGTTAAAATGTATACAATCCACCTGATCAGTCACTACACTGGAAGATCCGTGAAGTTAAATAAAGCCTTGCTTTCCATGGGGAATTTGCTTGGCATATATCAAGAGGGTGGTGTTATTACAGAATTTAAAAAGCAAAAAACAAAAACAAAAACAAAACCAACCTCTCTGTCTATCGGCCGATCAACATTTTTATTATATAGGCTCAGTTTCAACAAATTTGAACTTTTCAATGTGGTTAGTTGATTCATTACTTCGTGAAATCAAGGCAGACCTTATGACCTCTAGACTTTGCAGCATATTAACATAACTTAGTATAAACTTATCAGGGACCTACTGATATTAACTATAGAAACTTCCTATTTTGATCTACAGTAATATCCTCAGTATATCACAAATTTATGTACATTAATTAGTAAGGGCCTATAAACTAATCGCCTTACTTCATTTATCCTACCTAAACATATACCCTACCAATAACACAAATAAATGCATAACGTTCACCACCACATTTATCTATGAGTTTTCTATGAAAAATATGGTACCCTGACCGTTTTGGTTAGGTCCAGTGTTAAATTTCCATAGAATGTGTATTTCCGTCTGTAATTAGGCCAATATCTTCTTTTAGTGGTCATAAATAATTTTTCTATTTTATCAAAACTAATCGCGATGCTTAACATACTAGTTCGTTTAATTATATATGCGGTTGTCTTGCCAAAACTATTTTTAAAACAATTAAATTAAACTAATTATTTTGCTGTAATTTACAGAAAATCCGCTAATGAGGATTGTCATTATTTTCGAATAAATAAAAAAAGAACTCCGAGGCATTTCGATTTATTGACCTATTTTTCGTTTACAACTATACTACTATTCTGAAAAGCAATAAAATAGATTGAAACTTTGAGTCCTCATAATGTATCTCCCCCACCACTCACTTTCTCGTTTTCAAAATTCCTGACTTTTTTCATATTTCTTTGGTTGGCGAATAACCTACCTTAAATCATATCTGTAGTAGTACAGAAGAGATCCAATTATTACAATGACAACTCCAGCTGACACAGACGGAATGGTGATCCTTAAGACCTTAATTAATTTGCTACACTGTAATGTATCAGGATCAAAATCCAACAACTTCTCGCTTTTTCCATGTTTACGGTAACATTGCATATGAACAAATTTGTCAAGTGTGACGTTCGTTTTGTTAATCCAATTTCTAAACCAGACTAAATTGCAATCACACGAGAATCTGTTGTATGCTACATTAAGTCTCTGCAATTGGCTCAGGTTTTGTAAACCAACGTTTTCGTTAATGGTAGTGAGGCCATTGTTACTGACATCGATTACCTGTATACGGTTGGAACGAACAAATGCTTGATTTTGAAGTTTAATTATTCTATTATTGCCTATATATAGGTACACAAGGGAAGACATGTTTTGGAAAATGCCTGTTGGGAATGACAAAATATTATTGTTAGCAAGATTAACTTTGTTCAAATGTTTACAAGGCTTAAAGACATCACTCTCTAATATGTTAATTCCGCAGCGTTGTAGATGCAGATGTTCTAGCGATACAAGGTCTACGAACCATGCTGCTTGAAGTTCACTGAGTTGATAGTTATCATTTATCGCAAGATATGTCAGTTTCCTCAATCCACGGAATGCATCGCGTTCAATATCTTTACTTTTTAGCTGGTTATATTGAAGATCCAGAAAATCTAGGACAGAAAATATGTTAAAGGAATTGTTTTTCAGTGATTGAATTTGATTGTCATTCAAGAAATAAAAAGCAACATCAGTTGGTACCGTATTCTTTGAAGGAATATTTTTTAAAGTCAGATGTGAACAATATACGTCATTTCTGTATTTTGAACCTCCTTTTGCCACATACGTGCAGTTGCATTCCTTTGGGCACCGTAGATCTCTTGGCGGGTAAGTTCCGGATATCGATGGGTCGTAGTTATAAGTGAATTGAAATGTACAATTAAATGATGCAAACAGGGCAAAACAAATCAGGTACTGATAGCATTCCATCTTCATCAATGCAGCCATTAAACCGTGTGTCATATTTATTCAGCTTTGGCCTAATGTGATTAAGATTTACTGTAGGCCTGATTTTGAAAGAATATTGCTCTCTCCAAGCGAAATGACAAAGCTCTATAAGGTAGTGCTCGCACCCTGCACGCACTAAAAAAGTAGGATGTTTTGTCTGAATATAACCTCTGTAAGCATAAGCTAAGATATAGTTGAGTAAATAGCCTAAGTAGCGCTGTATCAAATGCGATGAAATGCTGCTCATCGGTAAACCAAGCCAGGAATATATAAAACGTACCTTTATGAAGACTTGATAATGTTAGTAGGAGCTTCAGACATTGTACATATAATATATTGCATCTGTAGTTTCTTGGTTGCAGAAGATTATTGATATCTGAGCTGTTACGCCTCGGTCAACCAACGACATAGTGTTGACAGAAAACTGATTTGCTAAGCATACTCGTGATGACAATTATACTGCGTCCTCTTTCGGTTTCGAATCACTAGGCGTTTCCCAGCCGCTTGGTGGTATAACCAGTCTTCAAAGCGTAAATCCATACCCTTCCCATCCTGCACCGTCCTCTTCTCTAAACTGCACGGCGGTATAGACAGGTACAAATCAAAATATTGGTATATTTTGCTTTGCTTTTCGTTAACAGTGAGTAGTTTTGCTTTTGGTTTTGTTGTCAGATAGATTATGTCTACATCTAAGAACGTAGGTGCTGAAAGTGTTCTTGAAGCCTTGGTTTCGGCGAATTTTGGGGCTACATTGGCTCAGCCTTCTGCCGCGAATTCACGCCTCCCGTTTGCGGGTCGTGATGCGGAGAGGGGTGCTTCATCGTGCCTCCATTTAGTGGGTCAAGTTGGGAAGGGACTTCAGGATCTGTCTCTTATACACATCTAGATGTGTATAAGAGACAGGTCCGGTCGTGAGGGAGCTCCGGATGCTAGCCAAGGGGTTCATGTTAGGAGTGGGCCCATTGGCTTCAATAGTTATCAGTTGGCCATTCTGGATCAGCGTCTGGACGCTAAGTTTGATGAGCTTCGGACGTCCCTTTTGGAGGGCTCTGGGTGCCGGTCTCGGTCTCGTTACCGGTCTAGGTCATCTAGGTGTAGAGCTGGTCGGTCTAGGCCTAGTTTATCTCGGTCTAGTTCTTCTGATAGTGAGTCTGACCGGGGGCGCCGAGCGTTGTTGGAGTCCCCACGGGGACGCAGGGACAGGGATGACGATGCCTTGTCCGTTATGGCGTGTTCAGACAACGACGGGGGTGTTCCACCTCCTGAAGTGTTGACGCCTTTGGCTCTGACTAATCCTC